TGAGTATAAAACTATGTAAATACAGCAAGTAAGAAAGTATAGTCGGGCGTGATATGATACCCTACACCAGTTATGAATATTAAATGTGATTTATTTTTCATAATAAAGCATTTATCTTCAATATTCCCTTGTTCCGATACATTTAAGCAATTTATGGACGAAAAACTAATATTCTGAAAGAGGCTTTATATGGGGGCTAGGTGCAAATATGGACCAAGCCCGATAAAATTTTGTGAATATATTTAGTTGTGCCGTATTTTATCGATATATCTGCATATTTAACATAATTATGAGCTCAGAAGCCCTTTTCGGAGGGTTATGTTCTATGGGGGCTAGGTGAAATAATGGACCGATTTTAACCATTTTCAATAGGCTTCGTCCTTGGGTCAAGTAAAACGTGCGTGCCAAATTTCATCGAATTATCTTGAAAATTGCTACCTGTACCTTGCGCACAGGGTTTACATGGACAGCCAGCCAGACGGACGGACGGACATAGCTTAATCGACTCAGAAAACGATTCTATGCCGTTTGGTATACTTTAAGGTCTAGGACGAATATTTTTGCATGTTACAAACATCAGCACAAATCCAATATACCCTCCCTACTAAAGTGTTGTAGGGTATAAAAATACAACAAGAAGAAAACAATTAAATGGCTTATTGCAGTAACTCGGTATGCGACAAAATAACGTCCCAGCAAAAACATTGTAATGACTTGTAATTACTCAACAACTTTTCAATGACTACTACATACATGCGGTCTGCATTGTTTCCAGTGTTGCCACTTCATGTGTAATTACACATATTGTGTGTAATTTTTATTTCCATGTGTAGCCCATGTGTAATTGGTTTCACGTGCAATTTATGTGTAATTTAAAATATTTTAAATCCTTCTGTAGAAAAGAGTCGGGAGAGTATATTCGGTTTGCGCTGATGTTTGTATCGCGCAATATGCTACACCCACACTACAAAAAAACATTTATCACCACTTCAAAAGTAGCACTAATTGAATTTTTTACCTTTTGAGGAAGTGATGTTTAAAGACTTCCGAAGAACCGAAAATAATTCTATTTTTTCAATGTTGAAGATATATTTTTTGTTTTTACATTTTTATGAGATAAAAAATGTTATATTTGGGCTTTTGTGTTAAATGTGTCTATTATTCTAATTAATGTTAATATTATATAAGTCAAATTAGTTGTATTCAATAATACTACAATTTCACTTCCGAAAAACTTAAAAAAAAACAAGTAAGAGTGCTATATTCGGCTGTGCCGAATCTTATATACCCTTCACCATAGTGTATTTAAAAATTCATTTTCCCCACTATATCATTATTATAGCAATAGCAAAACATAGTGAACAACAACAACGCTAAACGATATAAACACACAAAAAACAAAATACACAAGGCAGTAAAACCAACAGACATCCAAACATACGAAACGAAATACAGAAAAAAACAAAAACAAAATACACAACGCAATGAAACCAACAGATATCCAAACATACGAAATTCAATACACCAAGAAAACAAAAACAATATACACAATGCAATGAAACACACAGCCATCCAAACATACGAAATTGAATGCACCAAGAAACAAAAACAATATACACAAGGCAATGAAACACACAGCCAGCGTTGCCACTCACAATTTATTTTTCTTACCAATGTTCCGACAAAAAACTACCAAAACGTTCCTTCACAAAAAATATCTTATAGTTATAAAACGATTAAAATCGGCTAGATAGTTTAGAAAATACACCATATCAAATTTAATGCTTGTTGAAAAAATCTTAAAAAGTATGGACTTTGGACCTCGATAAAAATTAAACCCTAACGAAATTTAAAATTTTGGACAACTTTATATTTCGTATTTATACGAAGAATATATGTACCGAATTTCATAGATATCGGAGAGTGCCATGCAGTGTTGTTAGGCTTTTTTATGACAAATGGTCAACATTATGAAATAAATCAAAATCGTAACAAAAATTTAAAAAAACCGTCAATAAATCGTCAAAATTTATTACGTTAAAAATATGTAAATATCCGTTTATTTGGAGTTTGGGTTCTTGATCTAGCGTTGTCATTTTGGGCTTTTCTTTGGTAGGAATTTTCTCGTTTGGTAGGAAGGATTTTTGGTAGGTTTGTCAAAGCACCTTCACAATATCTTCTGTGAAGACTTTGATCAAATATAGATTGAAATCTAAAAAATTGATTAGGGCCATTCATTTATGAAATCAAATAATTTATGTTGGTTTTTATCTCAAGAGTTTTGATGACCCTAAATTGATTAAAAGGAGATTAATTTAAAAATAATAACAACATCAACATAACATACATCAATCATAAATGAGTCATTTCGAATGTCGAAATATAATTGTTTAAAATTTGATACGTTTAACACAGTTGGAAGATCAATTTTTTTTTTCTAGTGTTATCGTTTTCGTTTGTAATACTTAAGAATTGTTCAAGTAATGACTCAACAAAAAATAAAAATATGATTTGAATTTACCCCAAAGCGACCATCAATTCCACCAAAAATGATTCAAAATATAAAAATCTAAAATGGAAAAGAATGCCAGAAAGATTTGTTAGTCAATTAAAAAATAATTGAATCAATTAAAAAATTAATCGAATTTGTATATAATTCTATAAAAATTAAAAAATAAGGAAGAAATAAAATAAACATACCACCCTATTATTCATCAGTAACTAACTAACTAAAAATTGCAAACTAAAATATTAACTCTTCACATAAGACCTTTCATTTTTATCCAAACATAGCTTTGTTCTTGTTTGAGTTGCTAATGGTGATTTTTATATTAATATTTAAATTTACCAAGTCCTTTAAAAGTAAACATGTGAAATTTTCAACCTTTTTTTAAAATGCAAATCCTTTTGCAATTCGTATGTTGTTTTACATATAGTTTTTATTTTTGTACCAAAAGCATACATTTATTTATGACAGTCTGTGTGCAGGACTTTGTAGTCCTTTTGTGTAACCATTATGTAATATTGGGTCATTCATGAAATTTGCATGCTGTGAAGCAAAGAGAATATCATAATTTCTTTTTTATAAACATTATTAATTTAATTATTGTTTTTGCAACCAACAGTAAGTATAAAGTAGACAATGTTACGAAACATAAAAATTTAAGAAAATTAAATTGTTTGTGTTGAAGAAATAATATGAGAGATACTATATAAATTTATTAATAATCAGCTAAATAAGTACACAAAAAAAATTATCGGTAGTTTATATTCAGTTAACAAATTTTCCTCTTTCTTTAGTTTAAAAACTATGTTTACAAATTTTATTAAATTTTTAATTGATTCAATTAATTTGTTAATCGATTGAAAAATATTTTTGGCCAACTTTTCTATTTGAGTTTTTTTTTATAATTGTAAAAATATGGTAAATGGTCAATAAGATTTTAGAAATATAATATTGAAGTTTCTTAACAATTTATAAAACACTTTATATGTTCAAATGTGATATTAAAGTTATATTTTTTGTAAACGCTCAACGCATTGTTATTCCTTTAACATTGTGAGTAATCAATTAATAATTTGATTGTTTTAATCATTACCTTAATTGATTTTTAATCAATATTCTATTAAACAGTTTAATTCAGTTGATTAATAAATTAATAAAAATTAGATTTTATTTTGATTAAATATTTAATTTATACAATTAATGAATTCATCAATTTTAAATGTTGTCTCAATTATTGATATTAATTTTTCTGATTACTTCCTTAATTGGAAAAAAGAGTATTTTTTTATTTTTTTTTTTCAAATTTGATAAATGATATCATCATTTTGGTGATAGGTGCAAAAATTCATCTTTCATATAAATAATGTTGAATGAAAAGTGAAATTAAAAATGTGAAACATGTATTCGCATTTCTCCACATTGTATTTTATTAAAAATATTATTAAAAGGCTCTCAACGAAATGTATATATAGCATTGGATACAAAAAATATAATAAAAAATGTGTGTTAAATTTCATCGCTAATGGTTATTAGTCTATGAGTTTTAATTTAATTTAGTTCTTTAAGCATATTTCCGTAGTTAGCCTCCAAAATCCCATAATAAGAGACTTCCTTCCAAAATAGACACGTCGCTTCAAAAAATTATGAACTAAACTAGATTTTCATGCCCGGCGATGAGTATAAGAAACTGCAATACATTTCCATACAAATAAAAATGTCCCATCAACCCCGTTATTACCTTTAAAAATATGTCTTAATAAAAAAACTACTTCCCAATTTTATTTCTTGTGATTTGCTAAAGCTATAAATCAAATTGCATTGAGTTTTTACAACGTTCACAAAAGGTACCAAAATAGTACCAAACAACTAAACTTTTACCCGTTTATTTTCAATTACCCAAAATATGATATTTGTTGTTCAAAGTTACATTGAAATATTAAGTCATATTTAAATAATAGTATATAGAACATTTTGAACATACGCACTATTTTTTTACCCTTTTTACCCCCTAAGGGTTAACTTTGGAAACGATACTTTTCTAATAAGTATTTCCAAAACTTTAAAGAGCTACATAAATAATAAATTTTCGCTCTTAAACAAACAATAATCTGTATATAAGACAAAAATAAAAATTTTCTCCAGTTTTTCTCCCTTTTCCCCACCTTCTGGTCAGATTTTCCAAAAATAATATAGCCTATTGACGCTTCAGACAAACATCTATTCATGCTCCAAATTTGAAGAAAATCGAAACAACGTAATATTTCCCGCTCATTTCAGTCAATTTTCGTTGCAATTAATTTTTTAAAAAGCTTTTTTAATTAAAAAAAACACAACCTACCGCCACCAAAAAATGTGTTAATTTCCGATTTTTAACACCAGACTATTTTTTCCATATTATTCCTCCATCAAATCTCCAAAAAATTTAGTTTTACGACAATCCATAATGTACAAAATTCCATTTTGTTTCAAACTTAATTTTTTTGTTTGTACTTACCGTCAATGTCAGTTGCTTCACAACGCCACACTTGGCCGAATGCACCTTCACCCAATATATTGAAAAACTTTAATCGATGTCTTGGGAATTCCCATCCATCGAAATTTTCCTGTTGTGTGTGAATGCCGCCAACAAGAACGCCGCTACCAGCAGCTACATTGCCAGCCGTAGACGGAGGGCCACCTACAACACCTCCCAACGAGGCAGGATGATTGGATCCAATGCCACCATTTGCAACACTTGTTGATAGTTGTGATGTTGCCTGTAAAATACATTTTGTGCACAAAAAGAAGAAAATATAAAAACGATATAGTTATAAATATGTATGTATGTATGTAAGTGGTGATTGGCCATGGTAAGGCGATGATGGTGCAAAAAATTTATTTACAACTAAATAATTGTATTACTGAAGTACGTTTAAGTTATATGTATATGTGTATTTATTTTTGAATTCCGGTATATGAGCAATTATTAAAACTTCCTTTGATTTTCAGAATAGGGCCTTAAACGAGGGATTGGATCATTTGTGGGCGGATATCTATAGAATTAAAACGAGTGATTAATTTCGAAAACTAACCACTTTTAAGATTTTTATCATACTTTCTCAATTTTTTAAAGATTTACTGACTTTAAACTGATTTTTTATATGAGGGGTAGGATCAAATATGAATTAATCCAAAAACAAAATACCTGGAGGTATTTAGGTTCCTATTTAACTTGCCTACATCAAATGTTAGCGCTATGATTGATTTTATTTAAAATTGATTCAGTTTAGCTTATCAAAATGGTAGTTTAATAAAGGTTCTTTTTATTGAAACTTTAAGAAAAAACATTGAATTGCCTACAAATTTCAATTCCACTTTAAACACTGAAAGTGGTTCATTCCGAAAGAATTTTTCGTTTTCTTATTCTGAAGAAGCAAAAATAAGGCAATAATTCCTCTTTAGATCGGAATTGAATTCTGTTTAACTGTATTCCAGAGGGCACTTGTGAAATCATGAACCAATGTTGGCCCTTTTTAAAACCACCCTAGCTCCTATCGTTCGGAAACTATCCGGTTTTCAACAAACAGACTGACATACGGACATCGCTAGATACTCTCAAAATCTTATAAGGACCAAAAATATTGATTACACTTTTAAATTTCAGATATATACAAAATAAAAATACCAAAAATAATTTTTTAGAACGTAATCAGAATAGAATTTAGACGTAACCTACTCAACATTCCTTACACATATCATAAACATTTTTAACGGTAAAAAGGACGTAAGCGACAAAAAATCGGATATAGCGGATATGAACCGATCCCTATAAAATTTAGGACACAGTTTTCAGTTCGTTTAAAACATATAGTGCTTGTATCGGTTTCCTGAAGGGATACTTTTATGGGAGTCAATTATGGACCGATCCTTTTGAAGTTTTGTGCATAGATTTTGGTCGAATTTCAACGCTATACTCGTATTTTTAAGCCAGTGATGAGAGTTAGTCGTTTTCAGAAGGGGGCTTTATATGGAGCTAGGGTCAGTTATGGAACGATTCTCATACAATTTGTTAGGCAGATTTCGGTTAGTATAAAACACGTTTATGTCGATATTCATCATTGTACTAGTTTTTAAGCCAATAAGGAGCATCAAAGTCAGTTTCTGAAAGTGAAGTTTCTGACCGTTAAAGACATTTTCTGAAGAGGATCTTATATTCGGGGTGGGGTCAATTATGGATACTCATAAAATATTAGAGATTTTGACTTGTATAAAACATATGTATTTGTGTGGAATTTCATCGCTGTACTCGTATTTTTAATACAGTAATGGGCGTTAAAGTCTTTTTTAGGGGACCTTATATGGGGGATAGGATCACAAATAAACCGATCCTCATAAAATTTGGTACAGATTTTGTCTCGTAAGAATAATATTTACTTCGAATTTCATCGCTATACTCGTATTTTTAAGACAGTAATGAGCGTTAAAGTATTTTTCTGAATGGGACTTTATATGGGGGTTAAGGTCAATAATCAACCGATCCTCATAAAATTTGGTAGAGATATTTTGGCTTGTATGAAACACATTTGCGTCAGGTATCATTATTGTACTCGTACTTTTAAGGCAGTACTGAGTGTTATAGTAATTTTCTGAAGGGGACCTTATATGGGGGTGGAGTTAATTATATACCAATCCTTATAAAATCTTACAGTTATAAATGCTTTTTTAAGCAGTTACGAACTTTAAAGTAATTTTCTGAAGGGAACCTTAAATGGCGGGTAGGGTCAATTATGGGACGATCCTTAATGAAATTTATAAAGAGATTAGGTTCTATAAAACATGTTAATACCGAATTTGATTTTTTTAGAGAGTTATGAGCGTTAGGGTCAATTATGGGCCGATCCTCATAAAATTTTTCAAAGATATTTCGGTTCCGATAAAACATAAAAAATTTAGATTTTTTATTCATGCTCAGATAGAAACTGTAAAACAACAACAACAAAACACATACTCATACGGTAATTTTTTATAGTACTAGTTTATAAAAACAAAGCTGAGCATGACGTCCCCTTACGAACGAAGCAGTGTGTTGTTATTGGCCAGAAACATGAAATGTAGTATGTAGAGCCCGGATTAGGTGCGAACACATAAAAGTGGATTTTTTTGGTACCTTTCAAATTTTCTATAATATCGAATATTGAATATAATATTGGTACTTTTTGAATTTTCTATAAATTTGGTACTTTTTCGTTCTTCAAAAGGTACTTTTTGAATTTTCTATAATATTGAACCTAGAAACATGAAATTAAGTATTTATAGTGAGAACATGTAAAAAGGGACTTTTTGTTACTTTTAAGTTAATACAAATCTGGAGGAAACGATTTTTTCTACTTTTTGTTCTATGAATGGTACACTCTTTGGTTTTTATGCACAAACGCAACACTCAGATTGATCGAAAATCTATAAAGAGGAACTTTCTGATACTTTCTCGTTTTTCAACTGGTATTTTTTGGATTTTTTGTACTGGCTATTATAGTTAACACATAATGGTGAAGGGTGTATAAGATTCGGCATAGCCGAATATAGTACTCTTACTTGATTTTTTATGTGTTTTTTTAGATGATTCTAAATGCACTTTAGAAGTATTATTAAAGTGTGAAATTAATCTCATTCTTCTTAAATTTTCCTATAAAATCAATAGCGGTATTCGATGTTCGATGCGTTTTGTATTGTAAAAGTTTAATCTTGCAAATATTTTGCTAACGATTGTGAGCGGTTTCTTTCTTTGATATTTGCAATGCAAAGCAATTTAAGCTTTTTAACAGCTGATAGAAGTCAACAATTAATGAAAGTTTATGTTTGATTTTTTCAATAATCTTTGGAAGAAGTTGCCCAGGAAATAACTTGGACTGAATGTAAGACGTTCGCCTATTTATAAGTGGTCTGTAGATTCCTAACTTTCCATTTATGTATACGGCCTCAACTAACATTAATTTTTTTGTAACAGTTCCGCGGTTTGTAAAAAAACACTTATTTGTTAAAAAAAACGTACTTCTATACTTGGTGCCTTCTCCAAATAATCAAAGAACATTTATATTCCTTCTGTTGACCACTTTTTGTTTGGTTTTTCACTTTTTAATTTATTTGGAATAATTTTTGCCTCTATTGTTTTAGTTTCATTTATTTTGTTGTTTACAGTTGACAGCTGTTTTAATGAGAGAATTGCAAACGCAATAACGCACCAAAAAAACTATACCAATTAAGTATTGCATCAATGCAATGGTGCGATAATTGCAACAGTGTGTGTTTTGTTGTTGGATTGCAATAAAAAGCTATGAAATTTTGCATTTGCTCTTTTACAAGACCATTTGCACTAAACACTGAACTCCGCAAATGATTAAAACAATCCTATCAATTCTACTTTGGAAAATATCGCTCAAAATCAATGGTTTCAGCCGCAGATATGTAGACGGAGTTGGATTTAAAAAAAATTATTATTATATTGTGACCACTGATATAAAAACCTTGATATCTCCAATATTAGTCGTTCAAAGGAGAACGTAAACATTCAGATCAGGGACCTGGTCATTTTGGATGTACTGTGCTAAGAAATATACGGTGAATTTCATGTCAACTTTTAAAATCGATGTCTTCCGATTTGGATGAAATTTGCACCAAGGTGAGTACTATGGGATAGTAGGCCAGACACTAATTTACTAGCGGTCAAGAACTGCCGGAGTCAGAGGGGGTCAAAGTTGGATATTTTGGTCATACAGGATTTTTTTCAAATGAGTGTAACTTTTCACCTATTGGTCCTTGCAAAAATTTTTATTATTTTGATATGCAATTGAAAGCGTCTCTCAAGGCCCTTCCTAGTGATACCAAAATTTCATATCATTCCTTTGAAAGAAATATGAAAAAAATCATAAAAACCTCAAAAAAGAACCTTTTTATTCCTTGATCCTTGAGCTCATCAAATATTGACGCCTGGTCAAAAATTTTGAAAAACGGTATCTTAAAATTAATTAAACTTTAATTTTAGTTGGGAACATTGACACCTTATTTTTCCTCCATACTAAGAGGGCCACATTAATGTACATATGTATTTTACAATAATGTTCATAAGAACTTAACGTCAGTCAAATATTATCAAATGTCATCACTGTCATCTACATAAAAACAAGAGAAATCATAACTACAAAAGCAACAACAAAGTTAACTTCAATATGCATAAATATGAGTATTACTTGTATGTATATGTGCTTGAATATGGGGATCAGGGATGGAAAATGAGATTTTGTTTCAGTATCAAAAAATATTTCAGAGGGTACTTTTTTGGATCTTAGAGTACTAAAATATTTTTCTTTTTTGCTGAAAGTTGTTAATTTTTTTTAAGTACACCTTCACATATTTAGAAATTTTTAAATAATTAACAACAGAAGTAGAAAAGGTATTATATATACCGTAGGGTGATCGATTATTCGACATTTTCCAAAAACCGGTTTTCGAGTAGTTCGAATAATTGACATTTGAAAAAAAAACCGGTTGATATTTTTCAAATTCAGAGAAAACTGTTTTTTATTATACATAAAAACATCTAGTTTAATTTAAAAAATAATTATGACCCGAACTGATTTTTTAAAATAAACATTATTTCTTTAATGTAAAAAATTGGGAAGAATCATAATCCTAGTTTATTCTAAAGTCCCTGTTTAGTAAATTTTCATAGGCATTCCAACACTGCTATAATATTTCAGCGACAAATTAATTGTTGTAATTGGAATATAATCTTAAGATTGATAAAATTTTATCCAACAGTTATTCCAATCAATTTTAAAATTTAGACAGGCTGTATTATTATTTATTTCAAAATTTAATTAAAGTAATCTTTGAATACAAAGCAAATAAAAGTATTCGAAACCGGCTTTTAAAAAGTTAAAAAACCGGGTTATTCGATATTCGAAAAAATCAACATTTAGAAAAAACCGACACTGGTAAATAGTTAAACTGAAAAATTTGATTGATAATAGAATGAAACCATAAAGTGTTATATACCATTGTAAAGCTAATTACGCGTATGCTGATGTACTTAAAATTTTTCCGAAAAAATACGACATTTGTAATCATTTTGGTGTTGTATACAAATTTGTGTATGTCATTGAAATCGTCTCCCAAGGACCTTTCATATGATACTAAATTTGGATATGGTTTATTTGTCAAAAATGTGAAAAAATAACATAAAAACCCTAAAAAGGACCTTTTTATCCTTTGATCCAGCTCACCAAATATTGACGTCAGGACAAAAATTTTGAGAAATGGAATCTTAGAATGAACTAAATTTTCATTTTCGGTGGGAACATCAGCAATTTCCATTTTGGGGCCACCTTAATATACATATGTGTTATTAAATTAAAATTCGATGTACATAGGTGTTCATTTGTTAAAAAATCAATAGTCATATCAAATTCTACACATGAGACCATACATAAGACCATCCATGACATGAAACAATAATTTGCTTTAAAGTCCAAATAATTTTCACCAAAAATTTCTCTTATTATCTATGGTTGAATTCTTAATTTCAAAACATATCGTTTTATATTAGATAGAAATTGAGTCCTTCGAGCTTCTATCATTTGGAAATAATTAGTTTTAAAGTCAAATATTTTTTCAAAATTGAAATTTTTGGTAATTTTTTTCATATAATATTAACAATGGAATTTAATTAGATTAATATTCATATAATGTCAATCAAGATAAAAATTCGAAATGAGCTGCATTGGTTATTTGCAAAACATACTTCTAAAAAGTGGCTTTTAAAACTAGATTTCAAAACATTCTTAGAATTTCAAATTTGAACTTTTAAAGATACTTTGACCACAATTTTCTCATTGTCTGATTATGTACATACAAAAATTATTTTAACCGGCAGTATATCCACCTGGTAAACGATAACCGGAGGTTGAGATATTGGCCTGAGAGTATCAAATAAGACTCGGGAGTATCACGGTACTTTTGAACATCAAATAGTATCAAAAAAAGTACCATCGTACCAAATTTGCCATCCCTGATGGGGATAATGGTAAAACCAAAATAGAGAGCGAAAAATGTAGTAAAGACTAGCAAAAACAGGCATCATATCATAATTGTCATCACCAATTCTATGTCGATGTGCTATTAAAAATATCATAGCTAATCTTGTCCTCCCAACGCGTTGCAACGCTAACAGACTGATTCGGGCATTTATTGATAATTTAAATTGAGAAATAACTATTGGAAATTATGTTGGTACAGGCTTATATAGTTGTTAAGATGATGACTATAATAGCAAAAATTATGCTGTAATAAAAACAGATTATTGCTGCAGAGATTTATTTAACAATCAATATACATACATACATATTTTTATATATGTATGTATTTATGTCAGTACACCTGCTCTTAAAATAAAGGAAATCCCACTACAATAAAAATTTAAGAAATAAAATCAACATAAGTATACATATTTTGTTAGATCTGTTTATATGTTAATAAATTTAAATTGTTAAATAAATATGTGTAATGAAATGTTCACAGGAACACATAGAAAAAGAATCAGCTTTTCTGAATAATACATAATTATTATTTTCATTACTTTAAATACAGTAAGCAATGACTAAAACTTTAGAGAGTCACTGTATGTTCGAATAATCCCGTTTGTACTCTCGTTCCGAATCTACCAAACGAACAATGACAACAAGAAGTTAGATTGTTTTCATATCAAGATTAATGTAAAATATATAAATATTTCATTTTCAGTGTTATGCACTCAAAAAGTGAATGAACATGAAAACTGAATTGAATGAATGCGACCAACGAACGTATGAATACTTTCATGCGGTTGCTATAGCTTGTCAATGAATAACGACAATATACAGGCTCAAAAAAAAAACACCACTTGGTCCTTTTTTCCGTTATTGTAAGTAAGATTGTGTGTGTCAACAGCAAAGCAACTCTCCACAAACAATTTCACCTAATGCCCATTCACATCGTTTTTCATTTCATTTGCCATCTATGAAGTGCGAATTCATCGTAAAATATTTTGGAAAAAAATAAAATATTTTCTCACTTTCAATATCAGTTACACATTGAAAGTGCCTGCCGCCACGAATTACTAGATACATTTTAACCAAATAGTTTTATAGGGAGTAATTGTATCCTCATTAAATGGTATTGGTATGTATATTTTATATTTGGATCGGAAGTCGTTAATAGAAAAACCTTTTAATTAAATATTTAAATGAAATCAGCATTTAATAAGGAATTGTGGGAAATAAACGAAGTTGTAATTGTTGTTTTAATTAAATCCATCGTAGTGTTAATTGAAGAAAATAAAGTCAGTAAAAAGTGTAATCGGAATTGCAGGGAAATTATAAATACATACATAAATAAGTTTTAAGTACATACATTAGGGTGATAACCAAAATTAAGCCCTATCACAACGTGGTATCCAGTAGAGGTCTAATAACGAAACTCGTTTTCTTTGGTCATTTTGGTGCAAAAACCTTTCGCAGCAAATCACAATCAAATTTACATGAATTTTTAGCAGTAAAATCTACAAGTTTGGGTACTAAATTTAGAAGAGGGATACAGTAGACCCTATCCTTGCTTTTTCTTTGTGTAAATGTCTTGGGTCAAACAATGACAATCGAAAATATCCGATTTTGTATTTTTTTATACTCTATTCGGAATAACTTTTATACAATTTTGAAAAATTTTATAAAAGTTATACCCTAATATACATACATATGTATATGTATATCTGTATACATCTACATACATACATACATATATACTAAATAGTTTTGTTCATATCTTTTTATATACCATTCAAATCTTATATAGTTTTACTGCACTCTTTTTTTGGCTTTAACATTTTACTTCTTTTTGTACTTTTTTGTTTTCGTTTCTTTAGTGAAAATGCAAATATATTTGTTGACAGTTATATAAATATTTTGACAATTTCTAAATGTTTATATCTGTGTACATAAAATATCCCAGCAAAAGTAGTTTTAAGTGAAAAGAAAAATTGACATTTACGAACACTTGTCCATTTATAATGCCACCAGATAAGCATTGCAAAATCATCTTAGAATCTAATAATGACTTAGAATATAGGTACATACATATATCATCCAGTGGGTCACAAACAATATTTCTATGTGTTACAAACGGAATGACGAAAGCAATGTACACTCCATCCAAAAATCTCTGTACATATTACACTTTTATCTAAAAATAGTTTATTGTCAATAAATCACTCCAAAACTATGAAATTTTGACAAAACTCGAAAAAAGTTTTCACTATAAACATGGAGATTATTAACGTGAAAAAGAATAATTTAAAGTATTTCATATATAAAATAATGAAATTTATTGAACAACACCAAAAACACCAGGCTTGTAATTTTAAATATTCCGAATTCCGGGATTTCTGAAAACCAGGCCCGATTGACATTCCTGGTCCTTATGTAAGGGTTAAATTCGATGTTTTCGATGTCATCAGAAATACGGGTCTTCATTATATAATATTTCACTGTGGTTTCAAGAAAATTTCCAATATTACGAAGCTTGAGTTTGACCTTCACAGTTTATCGATTAACATTACACTTAAAAGGCATAACAGTAAAGAATAAAGCCTGTTTTTCAAAAATTTTAACAAGAAATTGTTTTCTCCGAAATCACCAAAATTCAAATCGCAGGTACCTTAATATGTGCGATACATCGACCTAATTTCTTTACTATTTTATTCCCTTCTTTATTGTTCATAAGTCACACATAATTTTCAAATTTGTTTAACAAAATTGCTAAAAGTTTGAAACCGGAATATTGAAACTGTCTTCTGAAGGCTTTTCCATTTATGACTGTACCCCAAATATGGTTTTATGGAGGATAAAAACTCATATTTAAGTTAATACGAATATATTTAATGTAATGACATGGTTTTATTAGAACATTTCACAAAATTTGTTAAATTTTTTAAAATATTTCTCATTTAAGTGGCGCAACTAAATCATCGGAGGAATTTGTAATAAATTTTAAAAATTTTAACCGATTTTTGTGTTTTATATCTTATTGGAACGATAATTCCATACTTATTCCAATTATTTGTTGTTAAAATCCAAAAACATAAATTAAGTCTCAAGTATACAGTCTGAAGGACTAAAGATGAAAATGTGGAAAATTGGTGGGTGATACGACTTTTTTATATCCATATTCGGAATCAGCACACAAAATAACACTGGGATTAGTGAAAAATATTGAAAAAGTTTTTTCATCGTTGGTCAGTGTAATTAATAATTCATTTAATAATTAATTTAATTTTTTGAATAAGTACTTACGATAGACTGTTGCATTATTTGTTGCTGCTGTTGCATATGGAGTTGTTGTTGTTGTGGCTGTTGATCTCTTTCCCATGGAACATAACGATTGCCATAAGCCATTGGACCATTCCAATGTTGCATAACCATTGAATTTCGACTGTCATCTGTTAAATTGCTACTGCTTAAATTGCTTTGATTAGACTTTTTGGCCATTTCTTCTTTAGATTTTTTCTTCAGTGTTTTACCAAAAGCACACAAACGTTTGCGATATAGAAATCCAATGATGACAGCAGCTGCCACAAAGAGCCCACAAGCAGTCAAAACAAGAGGGATCATTTGTGTTCTGAAACCATAAAATATTGTGGTAGAATTTGTTGCATGCGATATAGAGCTCGTGTCCTCCTTCTCCTGTTTTCCACCATTGATTGATGATGAATTTGTTGTAGCTGTTGACTCAGTCTTGCTTAAATTCTTGGATGATGATGAAGTTGTATCATGATGGCTGATGGGTGTTAATTTTGTGCGACTTGTGGTCGCCGACGTTGTCTGCTGCGTTGCCACGGTTGTCATTTCTATGCTATAATCATTATCCTGTTCATCGCTATTCTCATCTACATTATTTGTTGGCCACATTGGCAGCTGTTGATTAGGATTGAAGTTCAACACAGGTGGTGGGTAAATATTATTAAAACCTGGTGGAAGAATATTAGATGGTCTTCTGTTGGGCTGTTGATTACGGATCGACTGTACTCCTGGCAAGCGATCAAAGGATGGTAAAAAGTGTGATATATTTTGTACAACATTTGATATGGATGGTGGCGGTGGTCTCGGCCCACGACCTCGATCATCTTTTGCTGATAAAATATTAACAAATACTTCATTTTTTGCTGTCAATTGTCCATCCGTAACAGTGATATAGAGAAAGAAGTTTTCCCCGCCCTTTAAACAAATAGAGTGAAAAACAAATTATAACCTATTTACATATGTATGTATTTGTTCATATGTATATATAGTTTAGGTTTAACATGAAACATTTGAATTTGTGGTATTATACCTTTTTAGAAGGTTTCTGAACCTAAAATAATATAGGCATAATTATGTTGTTTAAATTTCAACTTCTGCGTCGGTATATGTATGTGCAAATCTGACTTTAGTATACACACATATGTAAAATTTTTTAGGAATTCTATACTCGTCCGATAAGATTTTCATTTAAATAAACAACGCATTTCAGTTAGATAAACATATAAATACATATCGACACCTAAAACGCAAACGGCCCTATCTAAAATTTTTTAAATTTTACAGGAGAAGCAAAAAACTATTTAAATAGAAAAGTTTGTTTTTATCAGCGCGATTTATTTGTAGTAAATAAACAAATTGTTTAATAGTGAAACTTATCATTTGTTATGATAGTTGACAATGGCGTATAACAAATTTATATATTGGACATTTTACCTTTAATATTTAAATGTTTTTGTAGATAGGGCCTTTAGTTTTTTGGTCCTAGGAGTCTAATTTTTGATGTGTACATTTGTTTTGATGCAATACATTAGAATCAACAATAAAATAGATTTTGATTTTTTGATTAGTTAGGGCCGTTTGCGTTTCAGGTGACGATATGCGTGTATGGACTTACCCGTCCGATAAGACTTTCATTTAGATAAACAACTCCACCGATTGGATCAATACGAAATGGATTAACTGTTCCTTTATACGCTGGTTCCAATCCAAATATTAACTCGTCATTTTCTGAATCATCTGCACGAATTCGTGAAATTATTTGGCCAACTGGTTCCGTTTCCGATATTCGCCAATTGCGATCTGGCACAACTAATATGGGCGGACTGTTTACATGAGCATGCCCTTGACTTGATGCTAAGAAAATAACAAAATTTAATTTTAAATTAATTAATTAAATTAATAAAAATAAGTAAATTTAATATCGTATCAAATATTTATGTGCTATTATAAGATTGTATTGTAAATTTAATATGAAAACAAGTAAGAAATTATAGTCGGGCGTGGCCGACCATATGATACCCTACACCAATTGCGAATATTAAATGTGATTAATTTCAATAATGAAGCTTTTCTGTTCTTTTCTGTTCATGTTTGGTTGTATGCTGACTAGGGTGATCGATTATTCGACATTTTCCAAAAACCGGTTTTCGAATAGTTCGAATAGTTGACATTTAAAAAAAACCGGTTGATATTTTTCAAATTCAGAAAAAACCGGTTAACCGGTTTTTCATTATAAATAAAAAAGCATATTTTAATTTGAAAAACTTAATGTTTATGTTTAAATTTGATTAATAAAACATGGCCCGAAATGATTTTTAACAGTTTAAAAGATTATAACTTTAGATCTAGTCGTCTGATTTACATTATTTCTTTAATATAAAAAAATTAGGAAAAAAGTGGGACACTTCTGTTAAACATAAGGTAATCATAGCTTATTTTAAAAGCCCTGTTTAGGAAATTTGCATAGGCATTCCAACACTTCCATAAAATTTCAGCCGTAAATTAATTATTGTAATTGGAATATAATCTTAAGATTGATAAAATTTTATCAAATAGTTATCAATTTTACAAATAAATTTTTTTTAATTAATTAGGAAAATCAAAAAAGTTTAACTAAAGGAGCTTTAGAAAAATATACGCTAGCTCCTCGACTCGAATATTTTTAAAATTTAGGCGGGCTGTATTATTATTTACTTAAAAATTTCATTTAAATAATCTTTGAATACAAAGCAAATAAAAGTATAAGAAACCGGTTTTTAAAAAGTGAAAAAACCGGGTTATTCGATATTCGAAAAATCAACATTAAGAAAAAACCGACACTGGTAAAGCAGAAAAAACCGGTTTTAAAACCGGTTGAAAAATCGAGTCGATCACCCTAATGCTGACTAGGAGAAATAAAAGACCGATTTCAATCATGTTCAACAGCCAACCCATTTTAACAAATTATATTCAAAATTGCGATCTGTTACGTGCACACAAGGTTTACACGGTCACAAAGACGGACATAGTTTAATAAGGACAAATATTTTTGAGTGTTACAAACATCAACACATTGTTCCGACTTTTGGATAGATTGTAGTATATTAGTCGTAGTTAAAAGATAAACGGCCGAAATCGGAAGGTCCAGATGTATGGAGGCTAAGGCAGAAATTGAGCCGATCCTTATAAAATGTATTATTGGGAATTATCTATATACATATATAAAAATGAATGTGTGTTTGTTTGTATGTTTATATGTTTGTATGTTTGAACGTTATAGACTACTAAATGGCTAAACCGATTTTCTTCAAATTTTCACAGCACATTCCTGTATGTTTGGCAATAGGCTACTTTTTATTTACGATCATGGCGAAAAATGACAGTGTTATTTATAATTACATATCAAACTTAGTTGTGCCGATTTTTGGGAAGATAGTAGTATATTTATAGTAGTTATGAGCTAAAAGGCCCAAATCGGTAGGTCCGGTTGTATGGGGGCTAGGGCAAAAATTGGTCCGATCCTTATAAAATTTTATATAAAATGTTTATATAAAATCTATTTGTGGCAAATTTCATCGTGATACTAGTGTTTATAAGTGAATTGTGGATATTCAAGTTATTTTCTGAAGGGGATTTTGTATGGGGGATAGGGTCAAATAATGCCCGATCATTATAAAAATCGACAGTGTTATTAATAATTATATCAAACTTAGTTGTGCCGATTTTTGGGGAGAGAGTAGTATATTTGACAAAGTTATAGCTAAAAGGCCCAAAGCGGAAGGTCCGCTTATATGGGGGCTAGGGTAAAACGTGGTCCGATCCCTATAAAATTTATTGTTGAGAATTATGTTTATATAAAACTCATTTGTGCCAAATTTCATCGTGATACTAGTATTTATCAGTGAATTGTGAACATTCGAGTTATTTTCTGAGGGGGACTTTGTATGGGGGCTAGGGTCAAATAATGCCCGATCTTTACGAAAATTACTAGAATTATTAAGACATATATAAAACTAAATTTTTCCAATTTTTGTAGAGATAGCAGTTCATTTAACATAATTATGAGGTCAAAAGCCCTATTCGGGGGGCCCGGTTGTATGGGGGCTAGGTGAAATAATGGACCGACTTCAACCATTTTCAATAGCGTTCGTCCTTGGATCAAGAGAAGTGCATGTTCCAAATTTCATCAAATTATCTCAAAAATTGCGACCTGTAGAGTGCGCACAAGGTTTACATGGACACACAGACAGACGGACGGACGGACAGATGGACATAGCTTAATCGACTCAGTAAGTGATTGTGAGCCGATTGGTATACTTTAAGGTGGGTGTAGGACCAATATTTTTGGGTGTTACAAACATCAGCACAAACGCATAATACCCTCCCCACTATAGTGGTGTAGGGTATAATTAATGAAAACTTATATTTAAAAGAAAAAAATGTATTTTGAAGTCTGCATAATTTATTCTAATCGGCAAAATTGGTACGATGGTACTTTTTTTAATACTAATTGATGTTTGAAAGTACCGTGATACTCCCGAGTCTTATTTGATACTCTCAAAGTATATTTATGTACATATAATTATCAAAAATGCATCAACTAAAAGTTCGAGAAGAAACGGCCAATAAAATTATAGAGTAATGTAATTATATGCAATGTTACCGGAATTAAAGAAATCTAGTTTTTAAAGTAAAGCAATCTAGATTAGAAGTATGTTTTGCAAATTACTCATGCAGCGCATTTCGAAATAGAATTTCGAATTTTTTTTGGTCAAAAATATTTAGACTTTAAAGCAAATTATTGTTTCATGTCATATTCAGAATCGGATGTACGAGTAAATATCCTATGTATGGTCTCATATCATGGAGATCAAATGAGTAGAATTTAATATGACAATTGATTTTTTAATAGCACACATACATATAAGAGATTTATTGGCAATAAACTATCGTTACTAATACTTGTAGCTCAAGGATTTATTAAATTATAACAAAAAAGTACCCACAAAAATATTTTTTGATACTGAAACAAAAACTCATTTTCATTCCCAGCATTGAACATTTTAATGTTTATTTGTATAAAAATTTTATTAATTTTTTTGCATCAGCTGTTTACACTTTTGCATTTCTTGCTCAAGTTTACAGCACCTCCATTGGGCGCTTAAACTAGCAAACAAAGTTAACTAACTGAGTACTTAAAAACAACTTTCGATGAATAATTTTAATTTAATCCTTAATCTTTCACCTAAAGATTGTCCCTAAAAGTATTAAAAAATAATTATTCCAAGAAAATCTTTGGATTTTCAAATTTTTACAAAAAATTATTTAATGTAAAATTAGTACATATAAAGTCACATAGTTTGTATTTTAATATAATTTTTCAAACCCAATTTTCTCTCAGATCTTGTGTTATGTTTTTAATCAAGTCTTACAAAATATACATATACCAATATACGCGTAATTTCATAATCTTTTCATTGATACTTTATGATTTCATTGGGTTATGTATGGGTCATACGTAGTGCAAATATTTTAGTTTAACTGAAATACTTACACAACTTCACCTAAAAATGTATTTTCTGTATTGCTTTCTTTGTAAATGACATTTGAATGTTGTTGCTTAAGCCATTAAGCCATGTTTGGCTTGAACGATAGTTTAAAAAAAAATCACATAAAATTATATATAGATAGAATTTATCAAAAACCTACCATATTATATCAAAATTTCAAATCATTCCTTTGAGAGACATAGAAGAAATCCTTAAAGAAGGCTTTTTATCCATGGAACCAGCTTAGAAATTTAAAAATTAATAAAATAAAAATAAAACAAAATTTAATGTTTGTTCGTTAGCGATAAACTCAGCAACTAGGGCGCCTGATGGGACAAAATTTGAGTTATATGTTCCAGTGATGGTGAGAAGTATTACTGTAAAGTTTTGTACGATAGATGGCGTAGAAATTTTAATTTTCAGTGAATTAGACTTAAGCCTAATCCTAAATTTTAACGTCGCCAGGTTCAGCTAGTGAAAATAATACGGTCCCTGTTTTTTAGACAACCATCAGAAGTCAATATTTGCCTTTTTAAGAACATATTGGAAAAAGATATTTATTACATTCAATATACAAACTAAATAAGAGAAACAGAATGTAAAAAAAAAACAAAAAAGTCATACTCACGCTACTTTGGTTCTTTACTAGACATTACTATGTACATTAGGGAGAGTCAAAAATATCCTTTTCAACTTATTATAGTGAAATTATGTTGTATTTTAACACAAGTAGAGTACATATTTAAAATATTACTCAATTATTTTTAGGGTAATAGATCGTGCATCTTCGTGTTTATAAGAAAAAATTATTATATATTAGGGTTTATTTTTCTACCGGAGCCACACAAAATTTTACCCATTGAAAAATATTTTTCAAGGATAGGTCTATTGATTCACAATATAAGATGAATGTAAGCATGTGTTGTTTTACTACCATCGATGAACAAATAACCATCAGGATTTTTTAACAGATTATTTGATGTATGACTTTAGATAATTTGAATTTTATATTCGATATATATTTTTTGCGACCAGAAACCACTCATATTGTATATGTATATGTAAATGAACTTGCAAGTTGCAACGTTTGAAATAAAGAACATAGATAAACTGCTGCTTAAAAAAATACTCATCATAAATAAAAAATCTACATTATTTTAAAAGCACTTAAGTTTTTTAGTTTCAAAGTTGTTTAAGTTGAGTTTATATGTATAATTTTGTTGTTCCATTTGTAATATAATTGTTAAAATTTAATTTCACTACCCCATAAAATACATATGTATGTATGTATACATATGTATATTCTGAAGCCTCATAGATAGCGGA